TTCCCGTTAAGGTGGCGTGATAAGGCATTCCAGACAATGGAGCCCCTATGAACAATGACGTTATTATCATTTCTGACTCTGCGCTTGTTTGTGTTTTAACTCTTTCTTGGATTCTTTTTCGCGATCGCAATTGCGGTTCAAAACCCTGTTTTTGTTGGGTCGCTGTACCGCTCTCAACATGATCATTTTGCTCATTTTGATAGATCATTTTGCTTTTGGCCAAAAATGTCCTACATTAACGTGCAGAAGTAGATTCACCTTATACCCTCCTTCCGCTCAAAAAAAAATCCAGTTGAATATGTTCAGAGGTTTGGCTCACAATCATTTAGTAATGATCAGCTGTAATGATCTCCTTCGTTTCGGCTACTTCGTCTTGTTTCGCTCGTTTCCGCCGTTTCGTTTCGGTGGCTTTTGTGGTTCGAGTCGTCTCGTTTGCGCGCTCATCAGTCTATTCAACAATTTTGAAGTTTTAAGGTCGTGTAGAGCCAAATGTCCGTTTAGTCGTCTTTACTCTTCTCGGAAAATTGATTAGTAATATAAAAGAATTATTCCGTGAGCCCGCGTTAGATACGAGGTGATAAATAACAAATTAGCGCGTAGCGCTGAGTTTGTTCTAGTCATCTCGTGTACTGTAGCAAGGACAAATGAAGCAATTCTTTTTATCGTATCTTCTGGATAATGCAGACGTTTCAGTTTGATCTAAACTATTGGTGGCATGATGGATGGCGTGAAAATTTCTCGCTTGCGTTGTTCACGCCTAGTCTGTGTAGAGAAGTTTATTTTTCTTCGAACGAGCGAGGATTTCAAATCCTCTGCGGTTAATACTTGATAGCTGAAAGATTAAAATACTCTCTACTAGAGTATTCAAAAATATTCAATAGCATTTTAAATGTCTGTACGGATGGCGCCTCAAAGTCAATACCATGCAAGGTATCTACTTATAAGGTATCTACCTTAAAAAGTAAGCACCGCAGAAAATATGATCCCTTCCCCCCAGTGTCATAAATCCTTCCGATAAAACCCCAACCCACCCACCCTGGAAAATAAGCCCCCCACCTGCACCGCAATAAAATATTGTTTGGGTTAGGAATTCAAAAACGCGGTTTCAGATTGATTAATATCAGTCGAGGTGTTGTGGATCCAATTCTTTTGGATCTACTCAGAGAGTCTGAGGGTCGCTTGGTATTATCACAGGTTTTTACACAGGATTTTACGACTATAAAGAGGTTTTCGTGCTTCATGTAAAGTGGATTCACTGTTTGTTGATATCACCAAATAACGTGTTGTTTATTTGGTCATTCATATATTTACATAGTTTGACTATAGTCCAGAATTGCTTTCTGGCGTCTCTTTTAATTATAGTACAGAGACAGTATGTTCGTCGATAGGAGCCATTCTGTCGTCGATTATCACGTGTCACGGGATCACATCGTTGTCACTACACATTTATTGTTTGTTAGCTTTCCTCTGAAGCATCGTCTTGTTCATTGTTAGTGCTTGTGACAGATTCTCTGGCCTCTTGTCTCCATTTCATTCGTCTGTTTTGAAACCACACCTTGACTTGATTGTCGGATAAACCCAGCATTGCAGCTAGCTGATGTCTATCTGCTTTTGTTAGGTATTTCTGCACCTGAAAGCGCTTCTCAAGTCCTTTCCGCTGCAAGTTAGAGAACACTGCTCGCGTCCAGGGTCTCCTGGGTTTGCGCGATCGTCCTTGTTCATGAATAGACTGGGTACATATATCTGATGAGGTTGATGGGTGTCTGTTATTACAGTTAGTGAAAGGATCTAATAAAAGAAACAACTGATTTTTAGAACTACTCACTCGTGCACTGATGTAGATAAAACGCATTTACGTCCAAGGAACTAAAGTTATACAAACTCGAAATTGGTTTGTGTGGAGAAAAGGAAATAGCAATTTTCTGTGAAGGTCGACCAGCACAGGTTGTGTGTTGAAGAAACAAAGAGGCTTATTTTTTATTGGCCCCGCACCTTCAAGCCAAAGACCGAGGAGGCATTCTTGGATTCCCCATGTATAGTACTTACACTATTTAACAATTAGACCCCTACGGGTCAATAGCCCATGAGGCGAAGCCGAATGGGCTATTGACCCGTGGCCCTTGAGGGCGAATGGGTCTAATTGTTAAATAGTGCAAGTGTTTTAGTATCACCCAACTAGTCGGACAGAAAAGGCAATAATAAAGTTTGCAAATGCAAGTTGAAGATATATTTATTTGGGAATAAAATGAAAGAAAGTGTCACACTCGATTGCGCCAATTTCGCTACTCGAGGACTATTACTAATAGCCCTCTAGTAGCGTAGCCAATTAAAATGCGGGACTTGCATTAGTCCACTAGTTAGGTGACACTAAAACAATATAGATAATTTATGCAATATGAACAGTAAATGGAGTATGCAGTGTATACAGTGAGGACCATCTCTGAGCGCACTCCATTTGAATTTATCAGCTGTCTACAGACAGATTTTTATTAAAAACTCTTATTTATTTCAGATAAGCCATTATAAGCGCTCGCAGAAAGAAGTAAATTTGTTTTCATTTCGCAGCGAAATAGATCTTGTCAGGCTCAAAATTGCGTAATCGTGAACCTCTTATAGGTTTTTCTCGCGAGAGACTCCTCAATTTCTATGAGTTTGTTAGCATCCCTGAAATTGCATAAACGATATAGTTATTCAGAAGCATGTTCAAAGATCACTGAGTTAAAAGAGAATAACACAAAAACTTTACTGCGTACCGGGTTTGACTAAGTGTCTGGAATTCTCCGAACTCCCCTCGTGTTTAGATGAGGGTTTGAGCTGTGTAAACACGGAAAAAGTGCTCCATTGGTTAATGTAACATGATGGCATGGAAAGGTCAAACGGTCTGAAGGCGTACATCACAGAACAATAGTCTCCATTTTAGAACTGACACAATTGATTATAAGTAACATAAAAGACTACTTTGTGCATGTGCTGGTTGCCAAAAAGGCGTTGTGGGCGATTTCTATACCGATAAACCTCCATTTTCTTGTCCTATGCAACACATGGCACCCATAGGATCCGTATTAACCATAGGGATACTATTTTGCATAGGATGAAAGCCTAAAGTTGGGCATCTAATCTTCAAGGTCGCCATTGCAAGTCTATATTTTTCGCTTCATGATATTCCGATACATGTATGCCTTAATCAACCTCGTTCACAGGGCTTCCCTCCCCCCGACCCCCGCTCCCATCTCTAAGGGAAAAATCCTACGAACGAGGTTGTGCCTTATTAACGAACCTAGCTGAGGCAATCATAACAATGGGTTTTCTGAACGCGCGTAGAAAAATGTTATTAGCAGATAACAATTGTCTTAAGTTTGTATTATCCCTTACAGTTTCATCGTATATTTTCCATTCTAGTCAGTCCTCAGTTTCCATTATCCCTTTATTCGTCCTGTTGTATGGTTTGATCTAAGTGAGTATAAGACCCCAGAGACTTGTACTGCTTTAATACCGATCGTGTTTAAATAAAGGACCGTACTATTTATTGCCCAGGTATTCACTGGCACAGGTATTCAGGCATTCGATAAATTTCGGTAAAATAATCCCATGGTCAGTCTTTGAACCCGCCTTGATAACAAAAACCACAACAAAAATTACACTTGATCGCGGTTGCTGGAAGACAGAACTTGGCGTTTACCAGCCAGTAAAGATACACGGTCTTGGTATGCACTCCATTATTGCCTCAAGAGTGATAAATCGAATGTTAAATCATTTTTACCTGAGGAGGTGCTGTAGAAAGAAGAGTTGGTATGGTAGCTGTATCCATGGGCTGGTGTAAGACATGTGTATGGAGGACTCCAATAGCATGAGTGTCGAGACACGTGACAATGCGATCCTGTGGTGACAAAACAGTCAGCGGTTTTATTATATTAGTGACCTTAGCATGGGTGTACAGTTGGATGCAGTTATATGAAAAACTTGTAAGACACGGAAACCCTATCAATAGCGTTTTTTTTTTTAACCCGTATGATAGTTAAAAAATAAAATGGCGGCCGTTCCGTTTCTTTGTACTACTAACGATATCTGTTTTAAAAGATAAAAAAAAATATACTATCTTCATGAAATGGGCCTGAAGTGTATAGTAGCATATTCTTTTTATAACAAAAAAAAGCCGAAAACCTGCCAGTTCACTTCTCAATTAAAACGGACGCTTATTGCTGTTTTCTCATTACCTAGTTAAATAATAAGTCCAGGAAATTCTGCCGGGGGACAGGTTATTTATTCACGAGATTTTGCAAGCGATATCCAAAAAGCATATTCCTCAGTCAAAAGAATGAGAATTGCTAGTTTTTTGAACAGTTCGCGGAGCGGTCAGTTCAAACCCAAACATAAAACCGCTACTTAATAAACAGATCAATCCAAAAAGTGCTATTTTATACCACTCATACATATCCCCATTTGTTTCCCAAGGGGTATCCAACTTTTGCATATAAAGTGAATGGAGATATTATATTCATTCCCTTTCCTGGAAATGCGAGGAAGAAAAATAATGATCTATCAATCCCGCCAAAATAGAAAACTGAAGTAACCTATGCCTGTAACCCTGTTCAATGGCCACCTAAAACTAAACAAATGAAACCAAACGCCACACTTTGATGCAGAATTCATCCATTTACTGGAAAACTGGCAGAGTAACTGATGAAATGTCAGATTATTTCTTGTTGCCGATGTGTTATTTCATTGCGTACGGCTGTATTGTTCTCACCTCCTCTAGAACTAAACACTGTGCTTGTCTCTCTCATCAGCCACCCAATAAAATCCTTTCCGTGCGAATCAATGAGTTGATAGACACTCAGTCAATGCCACGTGATGCTGTTTCTACACAGCTGAAGTGTGGTTGGCACTGAGTAGTCCACGCTATGACGTGAACACCACTGCCATGTTCCCTATAAAAGCTATGTTTGTTAACACTGGGTAAAGGTCTTATCACTCTTTTCTCTCTAGATGCAATATTTGTTTTTCGTAGAGCAGAAGACAGGTTTTATCCATTTATGCTTTTAGCTTGTGAAAACAAAGTATTAACAATAGGCGAGAACAAAACTACCCGGCTGAAAGGCGAACAAACTGTTAAAACAACGTTCAAATGAGGACGACATTTTGAGAGAAGATTTAATTATGGAAAATTCAACTAACGCTCTTTCAAAGAATAAATGGCGCCCAATAATAATTATGAAAGCTATATTCCATTTACAAACATGTTGTTGTTAATGCTAAATTTTTAAGAACCCTTACCAATTAACAGCTCAAGTAGAAAATAGAGTAATAATTTTACCTCAAAAGTAATCGAAGCCCCATTAATCTTATTGAAAACCGTTTAAACTGGTAAACTTAAAATTCATAAATCGAGGGTGTGAGAGGAAAGATTGACACAGTCGTACATCAAAGTCATACCGACGACACTAAAGAAAAGTGATATGATGAAATTAAATGTGTCATCGAAGCATTTAGATGTGTATACAGCTTTCTGATAAGGATGAATTTAACTAGTCCACATTGGATCATATTACTAATTTCTGTATTAAATTCATCTCCATCTACGTTTTTCTTAAAGCCACGAGGATTGCGCGCTGTATTAAAATTAACAAAAACTCAGGTTTCCTCTGATGGTTTTTACCTCAATTTTTTTTTTCAGTGGATTAGACGTTTTCCTTTATTCTGAAAATGCTAACTGTATCTTTTCAAACGACAACTACCTGTGCATCGATTTCGCGGTAACTTCATGCACGTTCAACTGGGTAGATAGAATAACTGAGTCTGTATTGTTGACTACATAACCACGTGCACGGACGTTTTTGCTTTTTAGGTTTTCTTGCCTTCATCTAGTGGTACATCAGTCGATAGTCGTAAGGGATTTTTTCCGTTAGGTTTCTCTAAAACTTCACAGCGATGCCAAGTTTCGAACTGAGCGATTCCGTTTAATTATCTAACATCAGTGAGATTGGACTGCATGTAATTGCTGCGCTAAAACTAAACTGAACCAGCTGAAGGTTGTTGTGGCCTGTCCACGACATGTTGTTTTAACTGGGCACCTTTAATTCAGAACTCATACCATTTCGAATGCCTTTTTTCTTGTCATTAAACAGATTAGGTACCCTGTTTATTCCTAAAAGGAATCGTAATGTATAAAATATAAAATCAGTGAACATGGCCTTTCAGGTTGAACCAGCTCGAACCATGTGCCCATACACGGACTCATCAGTGTTCTCTCGCGGACATGAAGTGAATCTCAACCAACAGCCGTAAATCCGTAAAATTAGCGATATTCCAAGTTAACAACTTTCTCCGTTATGTGTTCTTGCCAGTCAGGGAAACATCACCACTCCACAGCTAGAAAGGCGCCTCTATCTCTTAATCTGACCACAGAGAGCAAACACACAAAGACGGTTTGTGAATCTCATGATATATAAAGAATTTAAGTAACCTCACCGTTATCATTCTTTTAATGGCCATACCCCGACAGGCCTCTTGCATATGGTTCGTGGTCTATACACTATCGTTATGATATTATCGAAGTAACCCATTTATATCGCTATATTGGCCGGATAACTTCCCTTTTAAAGAAAGTTCAAACAAAGAAAGGCAAATTATCATAAATGATAACTTTTGTGTTAACAAAGATGCAAGTTCTGACACGGTTGTCTTACCCTTTCGACTGACACAAATAACTTCAAATATTTTTTCGCTGTAGCAAACGGGAAAAAAATTGAACTTATTAAGTCATAAACATAATGTAAATCTGGATAGCAGTTTTCGAACACAGAACCGTTTTCCTGTTGAACTGCATAAAATAAGAAATGAATGAAAGGGAACAAGGTAGATAAGTAGAGACAGAAAGTAACGAAGCTCTCTCGGGTGTATCTCCGCTAGCGAAGGCAACGTCCTTGGTCTCATGCTCGAGCTTAACAATAACTTGAAACACTTGCTGCACAATACTAGTTAAGGTGCCTACGATCCGTCGACTTTCTTGAAAAAAACTTTTCAAATAGTAAGCAAAGTTTATCCGCAGAACGTTTTATACTCACAGACATGTTAAGATGTCAATTCTACGACAAGCCACGCTATACACTAGATATCTGTACAGGAAACAGGGTTATAGAATGTGATGTCTTTACGCCAAGCAGTCCCATACAACACGAAATCTGTACAGTATCGGCAGTCGGCTATACATTACAATTGATAGGTCCACCAAAAACCGAGTAATTTATAATACGCCAATATATATCTCCACAGCGAGCGAAGCTGTTCAGTAGTATACGCAATACAAAGTGCTATCTCTACAGTAGTGTGGCAGCACGACATACATACATATCTCTATCTCTTCAAAACGATATCTATACAACAAGCAGCTGTGTTATAGGAGACAATATCTGTATCCATGTAGTGCTATACGACTATGGCGTTTATCGGTTAGGCTGGCCATCTAGCAGAAACGTGCTTGTGTGGTTGCAAAATTAATGGGGGAGATTTAACACCGAGAAAATATATGATAAACAAATAGAAAAAAGACACCAGGGTTGATGTTAGACGTGGTAAACTTTAAACAAACACCATGTTTTCAAATCCCCACTACATTAAAAACAGCGATTTAATTTTATCAAGTATCCTTCATTTTTATGAAATCATACCATTACCAGAAATGACCCGCTTTTACTTAGTCAGATCAGAATCATCGCCAAACGTTTCGAATATAACAGGATAGTTTGAAGCGTGTTCAGTGTACTCTGTGCATTTCTGAACCCGATTACAACGGGTAGTGAATTTATTGTAGCACGTACGTAATAGTAGTAATAAGGAATATAAACCATAAACACTGTACCGTAACATGCGAGGCAGCCTGCATTCAAAGGCTGGTTACATATAAGTGTGTTATCCGAGACTTCAGTGGAGAGATGTCTCGAGCTTGACTGTAGAGCAGACTGCGAACTGGTACATTGAGTAACAGTGGGAAGAGCCTGAGGTGCTAGAATATCGTCAATAAGAAACGAAGCTACCCTGGGTCGATCGTCTTGTCTTTGTTCTTGATTCATTGAATTAGTTCAGGCTTGCTTTGGACCGCCACGGGAGGAAAATCGAAGAACGTTTGAGAGCGCGCTTAGTCGGAAGGGTCTGAATTGTGTGAGACCCCCTGTTTCCCTGACTCGATATATTGACATGTCTTTGTTGACCGTCACGTTTTTATCCATTAGCGTTGATTTGTTGATTTTTATTATCTTTGCTTTTGCTTATCAGATGCCAGATTATGATATGTCTTTCTTGGTTGAAATAGCTGCCGCTTGGTTGTACGATTTTATCTTCAATGAGGTCGATACATTATTTGCAAAAAAAGAACCCTGAAAAGAGAGTGTTTTTGGCATTGATATGTTAACATCACTTCAAATAATAAAAAGAAACGTTTATGGATACTTTGTAGCTAACATCACGAAAGCTGATAAACTTTATTTTATTGGATAGTGGAAAGAGACAACTGTCACATCTCTATGGATCAGTCAAATCCATGATACAAACTGAGCCCATCAACCTATCCAATCATGCCACGGGCCCCAAAGTCTCTGCACTGACGCTTTTCGCAACATATCACCTACTTCTAACGCCGATCTGTTTGGCAAGTAATCGCATTAAGTCAATTATGAGTTATTTTAGGCGCTACATAGCTGGCCTTGTCTGATCAAGACTTCAGACATCTTTTTCAACTAAACCGTCCAATTCTTGGCACTTTTTAACTATAATGAGATTAGGCATTAATTTCGCATTTTCCATTAACAAGCGGAAACCTTTGAAGCAGTTATATGTTTTCCTTCTAATTCATATTTTTCTTTCCCCAAACTTACGGTGACAGAAGCATTTAGGCAACACAAAGACAAGTGACATTTTTTGCATCAGAATACGCAGGAGTGTAAACACATTAGTGTAGATAAAAGATCCACCTTGACTGTAGGACGTTTGTTTATAGATTGGGCAAACACTTTTGATTAGATATTCCGGTATTTCAACTTGGTGATCCCGAAAAAATACATGTTTTTCGTTGGCAATATACTTTTAAACTGGGAATTTCTTCAGTGTGGTAGATACAAACATTTTGTTACCTTGTGATCTTGTCAAGATTTAGCAACTAACGTGTTTGGTTGAAGACAAGTATTTAAAAAATGTACAGTGTGTGTAAAACAACTGCCAGTTGAAGAACAGTAGCCGACAAGATTACAATATGAGTATTGTTAAAAGTTTCAACAAATCTGTTAATGCATTAGGGAAATCAAGCATCCGATTGGTATTGTGCCAAGATAATGCAGGCAAACAAACCGAACAGTACGTCAACCATAGTGGAATCCTCGTGTTATCTACCTTGAGCAAACGATGCATGTGTTATAACGAAGTTAATTATTTTCCGCTTTCCTAAGCAACTCAGTGAAAAGGAAAGTGGATACAAAATCACTTTCATAGAGCATGCGCCCCATTCAGGCCGTGTCAGTGCCCAGAGTCCTCCGTAGTATTGTTCACCAACAAGATATTGGTATTAAACAATAAGATCGAAGGTGCTTTGGCAGGTTAATTAAATAAGAAAACGATGTTTCATAACAACAAGTTGCATTACATGTCCAGTTTTCTGTAAAGTCCCTGAAGATGCCACCTAAAAGATTCTTTAATTACATCAGTTGATAGTCTTGACATTGTACTGACGCACCCACAAGCAATGGAAACACCCACACGCAACAGGTGCACGCACAGGCAATAAGGACACTGCCTGTGAAATTACGATGATTACGGAATTAAGAATTAAGAATCACAAATTACGAAATTACGAATATTGAAAATAGGGACCTTTCTTTAAGAGTGTGAGAAGAGAAAATCGGATAATTTGGTATGTTTGACATATTTGTTTTATTTCGTTTTGCATTTCTAAGTTAGAGGTTACTGTTCCAGTTCCTTAACCGTAACAAACACCTGTTATTTTGTGTAGGATCATAACTGTAATAAGCGTTGAACTGTAATTACTACCTGCAATAGCCTTTTGTTAAACTGTTATCTACCTGTATTGTTTTGAAAGTTATTAATCTTGTAAAAGCTGAATTCCGTTAGCCAATCGAGCCCTCTGAAATGTATGAGATAATGTTTAGTTTAGACTTTTTAATAGCTTTACGTAGTCCTTTAGAATTGTGCTTTCGGCTTAAATTGTTGTACCTTGTAAAGTATTCTTTGGTTACATTCTGGCTGCATTCCGGTTACATTCTGGTTGTATTCCGGTTATGTTCCGGTTGCATATTGGTTGTGTTCTTGGATTAAAACGATATCGTTGGACCTACGTTCTGAGTGCTGTTGACGTCTCTGAAGATAATTCCCTGTAACAGATCCGGTACTGATGCCCGCAGCAAGAGAGTTTCCCCAGGTTTTTACAGAAGTGCTTTCCCAGGCCAAAAACCTATTATCACAAGAGTGCGTAAACGGTCGATGAAAAACAAAACTCCAGAGTAACAGTGCTGTTTCTTCTTTATTTTAAACATGCCTTCATGGTTCCTTTGCTAGTTATGTAAATATTAGCAATTTAGTTTTATTCGAGACAGCCAAAGCACAGGGGTTTTCAGTAAAATGAAAATATCTTGCTTCGTTATATGTAAATGTTTCCACTCAAGATATTGTCACCCTCGTCATCAACAGAGTGAGATTGTTGTGTGGTAATAGTGACAGCCATGTCTTGTTTGGTGTTCCGTACGTTGTTTTTGTTAAACCGATACCCTTGAGACGAGGACTGTAGTTGTGGCAATTGAATAATGTGCTTTCCTACATTCAACATGCTAAAGTCGGCTTGGTTCAAATCTGCCAAATTACTCACAAGTTCTTTTGTAGATTGTGTATTTATAAACATCCAATCGTCATGTAGATCTTCGTTTGATGGAATCTGTCGATCGAATACCGCTGAATTTTTTCGACTCTGAGTTCCATTACGGGCAGAGTCAAATTTTAAGTTCTTCGCTCTTAAGTTGTCATCTGAAAAGCTTTCTTTTTCCCGGGCCTCGTCAAGTGGTAACTCGTACTCATTTTCGGCATTATTCATGTTGTAGCGTCGTCTTTGAGACAAGCCTATTGAAAAACAACTTGTCAATTTGGCCGCCATGTTAGCAAACTCCGATGAGATTCAAACAAGACAGTAGGTTAGATCAATGTTTTTATTCCTTCGTTTTGCATATATTGAGTAAATTATAACTCGCTATTATGATCAAACATGCCAGGTGTTATCTCCTAACAACTAACAGAACAATACAAACGTGAAAAAGAAAAACAAAACAAGTGTAAAAAAGGAAAAAGGAAACGAAACACTTAAATCTCGTATCAAATTTACTACTAATCTGTTCTGAACTTCTGTCGGTCTCGTATTGCGAAGTTAACATTTCCAACTCTTAACTGTAATCAGTGGGAGAAACGATAAACATGACAGTTTAATAAACTCATCGTTCATTCGTGGGTAGCTATTCACAAGGTGTATGTGGAATGGCAGGTGTTTGAAGTGATCTCAGATCTCACATCCTATGCGACGACTTACGCGCCGAGGGGTAGGTTATGACCTTTGTGAACTTAACAAGATCTTATAACAGCGTTTACCTGACTTGGTTCAGCGTATCCGCAAACAAGGTTCAAAACGGGGGTTGAAAATAAACGCAACTGCTTTTTTGGCTCAAAAAAGGTAGCGTGATTCATGACGTACGTGAATTTTCGCTTTGCTTTTTTAAAAAGGTCACTCCAAAAAACGTATATTTATTTCTAAAGTGCAGGTTTTCCTTATGAAATTCGTCTCCAAAGAAACCCAAAATTTGACATCGTTGCCGCCATTTTGAACAGTACTCAGCAGCCAGGTAGTGTTTTCGTGACGTCATTCCGTCCAAGAGATTTTGCCCAAACGGCTTCCGACAAGCCTTGTAACTACCACTCTGGGTTACAGTAGCTGCTCTTGAGCAGTATTACTTTGTGTAAAATTATTTTGATCCAAGATGGTGAAGTTGATAATCGCTTGGAAAAAAAATACATTTTGCTGACCTTGTGAAGGATGCAAAGTCAGTTGCAGGTTTTTTACCTTCCTTTCAATAGGTCCAATAGCCCTTTTGCATGAGGACATCGGACAAGCAAATTTTACCACCAAGCCTAGCTTTTAAAATGCAAATTGCAAATTTTATCGGGGACGAATTCACAAAGTAGCAAAGATGAAAAGAATACCCTCGTGAAAACAATACGAAGGTACCCGAGCTGGAAGCATGTCAGCCGCCCCAATTCCTACGCAGAATAATAGAAGAGGTTAAGCGCTCTCTTTCAGTTAAATTCCAAGCCAAACTCATCCCCATAGCGTACGCTAGAAAGCTCTGAATCGAAGCCAGCTAGCCACCCGGACTTAAAATTATACTGCCAAGACCCGTCATGGACACATTCCAAGCTGGGCGAACAAATTGACCCTGACCAGGGGAAGGGAGCGCAACAGTTTTCAACGCAATTTTCTATCAGATTTGGTCTTATAACTGTCCACTTTTCGGTAGCTAAGAAGTTATAACATTATTTGAAATAGGTATTCTGTGTGAGGATGCCGGCAGATCGTGTTAAAACAGTGAAGCAAAGTACACTGCGCGTTGAGAACTGTGTGCTCCCTTCCCCTGATCAGGGTCAATTTGTTCGCGCGGCATTCCACTCGGACTTCGAATGTGTTCATGGCTGGACCTAGTGGCATAATTATTAATTTCGGATGGCTAGCTGGCTTCGATTCAGCACGCTTTCAATGTCTTTTTTTTTTCGCTTCGAGTCAGGGGCAGTCCAGAATCGAGTGTTTAGCCTTGA